CTCAGGGAGGTGAGATACAAATTTTAAAATTTGTTTAAAAAAAAATACAAAGAAATCAGAAAAACAATTCAGGATATTGAGACGTTTACCAAAAAATATACATATAAAAGAACCAAACAACTTCCGGAAATAAAGAACTGACTGATGAAATACATAATATACTTGATGAAATATTAAATACATAATATACTTGAAAGCATCAATAATAGGCTAGATCAAGCAGAAGAAAGAATCTCAGAACTTGAAGACAGGTCTTTTGAAATAACACAGTCAGATAAGAATAAGGAAAAAATACTTTAAAAATGTGCAAAGTTTACATGACATATGGGATACCCTAAAGTGCCCAACTATTCAAATTTTAGGAGTCTCAAAGGGGAAGAGAAAATGAAAGGATTAGAAAATCTATCACTAAAACGACAGAGGAAAATTTCTCTCTGCCTAAAAAGAAATTTAGACATCCTGACACAGGAGGCTCAGAGATCACCAAGTAGATACAATTTAAAAAGGTCTTCTCTGGCCCAGCACGGTGGCTCATGCCTGTAATCCCAGCACTTTGGAGGCTGAGGCAGGCGGATCACCTGAGGTCAGGATTCGAGACCAGACTGGCTAACACGGTGAAACCCTGTTTCTATTAAAAATACAAAAATTAGCCAGGCATGGTAACACACACCTCTAATCCCAGCTACTACTCGGGAGGCTGAGGTGGGAGAATCGCTTGAACTTGGGAGGCAGAGGTTGCAGTGAGCTGAGATTGTGCCACTGTACTCCAGGCTGAGTGACAGAATGAGACTCTGTCTCAAAAGAAAAAAAAAAAGAAAAAAAAAAAAGGTTTTCTCCATGGCAAATTATAGTCAAACTGTCAAAAGTCAAAGACAAAGAGTTCTAAAAACAGCAAGGGAAAAGCATCTAGTCACCTATAAAGGAACCCCATCAGACTAACAATGGATTTCTCAGCAGAAACCTTACAGGCCAGGAGAGAACGGGATGATATACTCAAAGAGCTGAAAGAAAAAGACTACCAGCCAAGGATTAGGAAAGTTATCCTTCATAAATAAAGGAGCAACAATGTCTTTCCCAGACAAAAGAAAGCTGATGGAATCCATCACCATGAGACGGCTTAAAAGAAACGCTTAAGGGAGTGCTATACCCAGAAGAGAAAGAATGATATCTACAATCATGAAAACACACAGAAATTTTAAAAATCACTGATAGAGCAAAAACACAAAGAAAAGACTAAAATGTTATGAAAGAAAAACTCTATATCTCAATAATAAGAGAGAACAAAAGGAACAAAACAACCACAAATCAATTAATAAGATGATGGGAATAATCCCTCACATATCAATAACCCTGAATGTAAACAGATTAAATTTTCCTCTTAAAAGATGTATACTGGTTGAATGGATGCAAAACACAACCCGACTACATGTTTCTTTCAAGAAATTCATCTCATCTGTGAAAACACATTGTGACTGAAAGTAAAGAGATGGAAAAAGATACTCCATGCTAACACAAACCAAAAACAAACAGGAGTAGTTGTACTTGTATCAGATAAAACAGACTAGGAAAAAAAACAGTAAAAACAGACAAAGAAGGTCATTACATAATTGACAAAGAGATCAATTCAACAAGAGGATATAACAGTTCTAAACATGTATGCACCCAATCCTGGAGCACCCAAACATATAAAGCAAGTATCGACTGATCTAAAGGGATAGACTCCAATAAAATAATTGTGAAGAACTTCAACATCCCACTGTCGGCATTAGCTTATCTGGACAAATAATTAACAAAGAAACATTGGATTTAAATTGCACATTAGACCAAATGGACCTAACAGACACTAACAGAAGAGTTCACCCAGTAGCCACAGAATTTTCTCAATGGCACATGAAACAATCTCCAGAATAGAACATATGTTAGGATACCAAACAAGTCTCAATAAATTTGAAAAAGTCAAAATCGTATCAAGTATCTTCTCAAATCATAATGGAATTAAACTAGAAAATGACAACAGGAACTTTGGAAACCGTACAAATAAACGGAAATTAAACAACAGGCTTCTGAATGACCATTAGGTCAAGGGAGAAAGTAAGGATGAAATTAAAAAAAATTTCTTGAAAAAATAGTAATGGAAACAGTGTAGCAAAACCTATCAGACACAGCAAAAGCAGTGCTAACAGGGAAGTTTACAGCAACAAATGATTACATCAAAAAAGTAGAAAGATTTCAAATAAACAATCTAACAATGCATCTTAAGGAACTAGAGAAGGAAGAACAAACCAACCTCAAAATTAGCAGAAGGAAAGAAATAAGAAAAATCAGACCAGAGCTAAACAAAATAGAGACTAAAAAACAATACAGTGAAAACCTGTTTTTTTGAGGAGATAAACAACACTGATAAACTACTTGCTGGACTAACCAAGAAAAAAAAGAGAGAAGCCCCAAATAAAATCAGAAATGAAAAAAGAGACATTACAACTGATACCACAGAAATACAAAATATCAGAGACTATTATAAACAAGTATACATTGACAAACTGGAAAACCTAGAGGAAATGTTAAAATGACTATACCACCCAAAGCAATCTAAAGATTTAATACAACCCTATCAAGATACCAATGCCATTTTTCACAGAAATAGAAAAAAAAAAAAAAGTCCTAAAATGATTGTGGAACCAAAAAAGAGTCCAAAGAGCTAACAAAACCCAAGCAAAAACAAAGCTGGCAGCTGACTTCAAAATATAAGGTTATAGTAACAAAAACAGCATGGTATTGGTATAAAAACAGGCACACAGAATAATGGAACAGAACAGAGAACCCAGAAATAAATCCACATATTTACAGCTAACTGATTTTTTACAAAGGTGCCAAGAACATACGTTGGGAAAAGGATACCTTCTTCAATAAATAGTGCTGGGAAAATTGGATATCCAAATGCAGAAGAATGAAACTGGACCTCTGCTCTTTACCATGTTCAAAAATCAAATCAAAATGTATTAAAAACTTAAACATAAGATCCACAACTATAAAATTACTAGAAAAAAACATCAGGAAGACTCTAAAGGACATTAGGCAAAGGTTTAATGGCTAAGACCTCAAAAGCATAGACAATAAAAACAAAAATAGATAAATACGACTATATTAAACTAAAAAGCTTGTGTACAGCAAAGGAAACAATCAACAGAGTGAAGAGACAACTTGTTGAATGGAAGAAAATATCTATAAACTATTCATCTGTAAAGGTACTAATATCCAGAATATACAAGGAACTCAACTTACTAGCAAAAAACAAATAATCACACTAAAAAGTAGGCAAAAGACATGAACAGACATTTCTCAAAAGACAACATACAAATGGCCAGCAGGTATATGAAAAACTGCTCATCACTAATCATCATGGAAATGCAAATCAAGACCACAATGAGATGTCAGTTCTTACCCTCAGTTAGAATGACCATTTTTAGACAAAAAATAACAGATGCTGGTGAGGATGTGAAGAAAAGGAAATCTTATATACTGTTGGTGAGAATGTAAATTTGTACAGCCACTGTGGAATACAATATGGAGGTTCCTGAAAACACAAAAAATAGAACTATCTTATGATCTAGCAATTATACTACTGGGTATTTATCCAAAGAAAAATAAACCAACGTATCAAAAAGATATGTGCATTCACATATTTATTGAAGCACTATTCACAATAGTAAAGATATGGAATCATCTTAAGTGTCCATCAATGTACAAATGGATAAAGAAAACGTGGGGCCAGGTGCAGTGGCTCACACTTATAATCGCAATGTTTTGGGAGGCCGGAAGAATCGCTTACGGCCAGGAGTTCGAAACCAGCCTGGGCAACATAGGGAAATCCTGTCTCTACAAAAAATAAATTTAAAAAACTTAGCCAGGTGCCGTGGCACACACCTGTAGTACCAGCTACTTGGGAGGCTGAAGTGGAAGGATCGCTTGAGCCCAGGAGTTCGAGACTGCAGTGAGCTATGAATACACCACCGCATACCAGCCTGGGTGACAGGATGAGACCCTGTCTCAAAATAAATAAATAAATAAATAAAAACAAATCTAGCATATATAGAATGAAATACATTCAGCCATAAAAAGAATAAAATCATGTCATTTGCAGCAACATGAATGGAACTAGAGGCCATTATATTAAATGAAATGAGCCAAGCAAAAAAGACAAATATCACATGCTCTTACTCACATGTGAGACCTAAAAAAGTTCTCATGGAGGCAGAGAATAGAATGTTAGATACCAGAGGCTGGGAAAAGTGTGTGAGTAGGAGGGAGGATGAAGAGACTTTGGCCAATGGGTATAAACATACAATTAGATAGAAGGTTTATGTTCTAATATTCAATAGCAGAGTAGGGTAAGCATAGTTAGCAATAATGTGTGATATATTTTTAATAGTCACTAGAAGAAAGGACTTAAAATGTTTCCAACACACAAAAATAATACTCAAAGTGATGAATACCCCAAATACCAAATTGAGGATCACACAGTCCATGCATGTAACAAAATATCACATTTACCTCAAAAATATATAAAACACTATGTTTCAATTAAAAAATTGTAAGATAATCAGGGAAATTTGGATACTGACTAAATATTTGCTGATATTAAGGAATTACTGGATTTTTTAGTATGCTATGTGGTTATGTTTTTATAAAGGTTACTTAGTGAAATGTTTATGAAGGAAATGATATGATGTCTGGTATTATTTTCCAAATAATCTAGGGGTTGTGGGGAACGTGGGTATCCATGAGTGGAAAATTGCTGAATCCAAGAGAGTATATGAGGATTCACTGTACTATTTTCCCTATTTGAGTGATGTTTAAAGTTTTCCATACTAAAAAGTTTTAAAATAAATTGTAGGATAATTTTTTTAAAAAACAAGAAGACAATATTATCTCCCAGGAATATGGATTGTATATCCCACAGTGAAAACAATTTCTTTTAACTGCCTGAGAGCCAAACTTACCAGATAGAAGATGGGTAGCACCTACAGACGAAGGGAAAAAAAAAGGATTAAAAACAAAAATTTGTTAAAGTCATTGATTTGCTAGCAATTTCATATACTATCAATAAACTACACTACAAAACTCAAAAGCAACTCAAATTTCCATAATTAAAAATTTATAAAAACAATTACACATTATTAACTTAATCAAGTAGAATGTAAACATTACTGTTTATATCTGTTCAACAGAATCAACACTATAAATACAAATTATGATAAAGAATTATTGACCACCAAAACAAACGCCATTTAAATTGGATTATAAGACTTGAGGGCTAGAAACATGTTTGAAAACGTAAACAGCAAATAATTGCTGATCCAATCATACTATCAAGAAACTATAAGAAGACTAAGTCCCTTTCAACAGACTATATCAAAACTCAAAACTACCACATCACCTTATTGTTTATATTTTTCAATGATTATGGATGAGACATTGCAAAAATAAATTTACTTTCAGATAAGCAAAAATAAAATAATAAATAAGCTGCTCTCCTAAGTGAGGTGAACACATTGACTCAGAGTGTCATTTAGAACAAGCAATATTACTCAGCAGAAAAAGTGCAGGATTCAACTGTGCACTGTATATGAACTGTATAAATTAATCTCTAAGCCTCTAATTCCTCATCGATAAAATCAATCTAAAGATACTTTGCAAGGTTGTGGTACAGACGAGTGGCATCAAATAGAAGGTGAATGGAACATATCCCTACAGTATATACTCAGTAAGTGGTGACTACAATTTTTTTTTTCAATTAAAAAGAGTTAAATATGGCATTTTATATTGCGTCCTGAAAGAGTAAATTAATTGTACCTAAGAGTAAAATTTGATCCCAAATATTGATATTATTATTGACTCATTAGGTTCAGTTTAAATTTGTTAAATTATCTTATACTTTTTACAGAAGAAAATATGTCAATAAAGTTAGTTCTATAACAAATTTATAAGTGACGCTTATTTCTCTTTGCCTTGCCCTATTAAAAACTGGACGTATTCAACCTAGAAATTTTAGACCAAGAGATATCATAAAATTGTAAAGAAGTAAAAAACCTCATAAAGAATTAAAATTAGTGAAGTAAATCTAAATTAATCAATGTAAGCCACAAAACCAATGCTGAGTGCTAAAAGGCAATGAAACATATACAGTTTCTGTAAATTATTTTAAAAATATGAAACATTATTATGTACTACTTATGGAAACATACATGGAATATAAGAATGAAAACAGACAGGAAGTCAGCACATCAGTTTCAGGGCAGTAATTGCCTTAGAGGGAGAAAAATGGGCTGGCGAAATGTATTAAGGAACTTTAACAATAACATCCATAATGTTTAAATTCTTAAAAATATCCAGGTGCTGGCAAAATAGGCTTCAAGGTAACAATTATGAAATACATAAAATCATTTTGAAAATAGGGTCATAATGGGTAAAACTATACAGATAAAACACAATTACTTGGTGCTACTGAGAACCTATCGTTTATAGAGCTTGTAGTAATACAAATTAGTTGAAAGGATCTCTGTATTTTCAATTACTTAGACGACACTATTGAGATGCTTTACCAAATCTGCAACTCTAGGGAATCTGGAAAGATTCCTTAGCAAGCTTTGAGGGATGGGTCTCTATCAATGAACCAGACCCAGGACTCAACCTTAAAGACAGTATATATTTGGTTCTTTGAAGGGGTCTTGAAGAATTCGTTGACTCCCTAAAACTACTACAGAAAACAGAATTTCTTTTTTTACCAATTTTAATTTAGCAGTTTTTTATGGGGCCACAGTCTTTTTCTCTATTATTGTAAATGTTTCTTTTTTTAAAGATTTGCCCCAGTATAATCCAAGTCTGCTTCCAAATAAAGTAAAAAGTATTAGTATGAAAAAACCCTGGCTACAATAAATTAGAGACCATTTAATCCTGCAATCTTGGTCAAGTTCCTATTTCCACCATAGCACATTAGATCCATACTCAGTAAACCTGAACAGTGTCAACTGACCTGAACTGGTTCCACTTCCTTTATCTGGGGTTGTTTTATGAAAATGCTTGGTTGTCCTGGAAGCAGGTGTACTCCGTGTTGCTGTAATATGATCAGAAGGGAATCTTTGTGTACTCTTGAGACCATTAGTCATTGGGGAATGTACATTGGTGGACCTTCGTGTTGCTAGAAGACTCTGCGTAAATGCAACTTTTACTGTGGTGAATCTTTGGGCTGTTAGTGTGGCCTGTGTAGCAGAATTTGTCATTGTGGGATTCTGAGCTGCAGGAGGGGTCTTTGTAGATAGGGTTTTTGATATGAAAGATGTGTGAGCTGCTGCTGGGGCTTTGGTGGCTGAAACATTTACTGTGGTGGGTTTCTGAGGAGTTGGTGAAACTTCTATACCTGAAATATTTACAGTGGTGTTTTTTTGAGGTGTTGATGGGACTCCTGTAGCTGAAACATTTACTGTGGTATGACTTTGAGGTGTTGATGAGACTCCTGCAGCTGCAACATTTACTGTGGTGTATTTTTGAGGTATTGATGAAACTCCTGTAGCTGGAACATTTATTGTGGTGGGTTTCTGAGGTGTTGGTGTGACTATTGTAGCTGGGACATTTACTGTGGTGGGTTTCTGAGGAGTTGGTGGGGTTCTTGTAGCTGAAACATTTTCTGTGGTGTGTTTTTGAAGAATTGATGGAGTTTCTGTACCTTGAGCATTTGGTGTGGTGGTTTTCTGAGAAGTTGGTGAGACTTCTGTAGTTCGAACATTTACTGTGGTAGGTTTCTGAACTGTTGGTGGGGCCTTGGAAACTAGAGAGTTTGCTGTGAAAGGAAAGGTTAAGAAACAAGTTAACTGAATATTGCTGGCCATGTTAAGATTCTTAGTCATTGCTTGCTCTGTGGCTATCCTCTCTCTCTCCCACAAACAACTAGGTATGACTTTCAGGAAACCAAGTCTTATTGTGTATTTCTCAAGGAGCTGAAGTTCTAAGTCACTCTTGCTTTGATATAAATCATACCTACGGGTGACTAAAGAAGACATATACCAAAGTATACTGAGGTGCTTAAGCTGCTTTTTGTGAAATAAATCAAAGTTAGAGTCACTAGTGATCTTATTCTGTGGCACATCTCTATTTTCTCTCCCAAATTATCTTCTGTGCTAATACTAAAGAACAACAGGATGTTGTTCTAGAACAACTAAGCCAACAGAGACAATCACAGTCTTTTCTATCACTTAACCTTAATGAGCTTGAGAACTTGTTTTGTTTCACTTCTTGTTTAAAGTGATACTTAAGTCTGAGTAAAAATAGCTCCTTTTAATTCTCTTGTGCTGGTTACCAACTTTCCATATACTAGTTCCTCTTTAGATTTCAGACTAGATAACAAGTCACGTGAAACTTTCGTAAGAACATATTCTGAGAGGCATAAAGCTAACAGCAGAGCAACTTTTTGGGTCTTCAGAGCCCATCTGCCACTGGGTCACTTATACAAAGTTCCTGTTGAGACAGCATTGGGTAGTGCCGAAGCCTGATTTCACCACGTGTGACCTCTAGCAAGTCCCTAACCCTTCTAAGCTATAGTTTCCTCATCTGTAAAATGAGGATAAAAGCAGAACAGATTAAGTAATTATTATTGAGTAAGGATTAAGGGAAATAATTGAGTAAGCTATTTCACAGTGTCTGTCCCCGAAGCAAGAGATTACATCATCCAGGATGACTGTTGCCAGCCCCATCACACACGGGATGCCCTAGGAACTCAGACGGTATCGGTCTTTTTTTCTGCCTCCTAACCTATCTCACAGGCTGCTATAAGGGATAAATTGAGTAAAACGCCTAGCAAGTAACACAGCATTTAGTAGGCACTCAATGATAATCATTATTAAGTAAAGTTTTTTTAAATGAACTTTTCATTCTAAGACCCTCCTATATAAAAATTATTCTAAATTATTCTTTGTTCTATCAAGTTAGTTCTGTTTTGATCCAGAGAATGTATACACTACCTTAGAGTTTAAATTTCCTAGAAGTTAATTTTTTAGTTATTATCTTTTTGTTACTGACATCTAGTTTAATTCCACTGTGGCTAGAAGGTATGCTCTGAATAACTTCAATCTTTTGCAATGTATTGTAGTTTAGAGCCCAGCATAGGGTCAATTTTGGTAAATATCCCATGTGCAGTTGGAAAAAAATACTTGTCATCGGTCCTATGTATCTCATATATATATATATGTTTAATATCTCATATGTATATATGTTTAATTGTTGCTCAGCTCTTTAGTCTCACTGATTTTTGGTTGTTTGTCCTATTAGCTATTAAGATAGGTGTGGAATTTTCCAACTATGAGTGTGTATTTGTCTATTTTTTCTGTCCATTTTTGCTACATAGATATTGAAGCTATTTTATCAAGTACAAATAGATTCCAGATTGTGATATATTACTGTTGAGTTGGCCTCCTTATCATTATGAACTGTTTCATCTTAAAATATACATTGATATTAATATAACTGTGTCAGCTTATTTTGAAGGGTTAATGTTTGCATGGTATATTTTTCCATCCTTCCAACTATTCTGTGTTCTTTTGATTAAACTGTGTCTCTTGTAAATAGTAAAGAACTAGGTTTTTTAAAAATCTTTTTTAAGTCTGACAATCTTGGTCAAATTGCACTTAATGTAATTATTGACATACTTGGGTCTATATCAACGACCGTATTAGTTTTCTATTTCTCCCATCTATTCTGTGTTCCTTTCTGCTTCTCTCTCTCTTGTTCTCTTTTGGATTAAATATCCATTATTATTCTTTTATTAGCTTGTGATTTATGTATTCTTCTGTCATTCATTTGTAGCAACCCTAGAGATCACAATATTTATTAGACTATAAGTCAGTCATGCAAACTATCACTTTTACCACCTTTTCAGTACTGCTAGAACTGTGTAACCTTCACATGAATTTACCTCTTTCTGCCTTTTGCATTGTTATTGTGCATTTGTATTCTATGTATAATTCAGACCCCACAGGACATTACATTCACTGTTTGTAAACTCAGTATTCATTTATTATCCTTGTTAGTGTTCATTTCCTCTTGTATTTTCATGTTTTACCTGGGATTATTTTCATTCTACTTGAAGAATTTCCTTTAGTTTCTCATTCTGTGCATGTTTGGTCTGCTAGTGCAAAGTTTTCTTGGTTTTTGTCTGAATACATCTCTATTTTGCATTCGGTTTTGAATGTTGTATTAGTTGGGTATAGAATTCTAGGTGAACAGTAATTTTCTTACTGTTTTCTAAAGAAGTTTTAAAGTTTTTAAAGTAATTTTAAAGATTTCTTCTTATTGTCCTTTGGCCTGCATCATTTTTTTGCTGAGCAGTGATCAGTTTTACTGCTGGTTCTTCGAAGTTTTTGTTTGTTTTTGCTTTTTCTCTTTGTGCATCAGTTTGGGTATTTTTAACTGGTATTTCAGTTCCTAATACTGTTTCCTGCTCTATCTGAATAGCTAAACCTATTTATTGTGTTCTTAATTTCAGATATTTTCCAGTTGTAGAATATTCATTTTACTCCATTTTTACAGATTCCAGTTGAAGTTCTCTTTTATCATCTTAAACTTGTTCATCAGTTATTTTAAGGTCTTCATTTGCTAACTCAATTATCTGGATATTCTTTATTTGGTTTTGTTTTCTCTTGATTTGGTCATATTTTCTTGCTTCCTTCCATATCTAACAGTCTTTTGTTGTATGCCAAACATTGTATATAAAACATCCGGATGATACGATATGCCTTTCTGATAAGCAGACTGCATTGAGGTAATCATATCTTCAACCTATTAGGAATTGAGCTGGGTTTCAGTTTCGGTAAGACTCCATCTACTTCTGCTCTTGCCTCTGTTCCTTGGGAGGGGCCCTTCTGGGCTTCTGATTGAAAGCCTGGCAGATTTTTGTTGTTTCACCTTTGGAAGATGGCAGGAGATCTAGGTCTGTCTTTCAGAGTTCTCCCAGCCATCTAATGTTCTTCCCTACACAGTTTCAACATGAGCACAGATGTGCTAAGGGGAGACCTGTGGTATGCTACACAAAAGCCTGTTCCTCTGGTGGGTATATGCCATCCAAATACCATCAGGTTCTGAAAGATTTCATTTTGTACTTTAGAAGCTCTGGGTCAAGCTTCCCAGCCTCACATGCAGCCCCAAAATTAGCAAATGGCCTTTAGGAAAAACTGGTTCTGCATTTGAGGGCCTCAATTTCCAGTGTATTACCCTATCGCTCCATAACCATTAAAGCTTTGCTGATTTCTCTTTCCTTGAAGTGGTCTTTTGTCTGGGTCAAGGTGAATCCTTAGTCCAGGTTCAGAATCAGCAAATGTCCCTAGGGAAAACTGGCTTACGTCAGAATGAGTTGCCTTCACCACCCGCCCCAGGAATTTTAGTTCATTCAGACCTTGTTATTTCCACAGCTATACCTTATGCCTTAAAAAATATAAATTTTTGGTAATCTATTCAGATTTTATAGTTGTTTTAATGGAAGTATTAGCCTGCCATGACCTACTTGGGTACTTCCATATGGTTTTTAAGCTCTAAATAACTGATCATTTAATAAAACTTGGAAAAATTAATATGAACTGGATCAAATGGCCAAATTAAAAAAGCACACACTAAACTTCATAACTAAATGAATTCAAATAATAAAAATTTTTACCATTTACATTGTCAAATCTCCCTAACAATCATTATCATTAAAGGTGCAAACACTACAATGATGTAATATTAGTGGGAGATTAAATTGGTACAGTCTTTTAAAAAGCAACGTTAGTAATGCGTATGAAAAATGTAATTCACATACCTTTGTTACAAATAATTATACTGCATGGAATTTATTGTACAAATGTACTTGCATACATGTGCAGTGACAGATGTACAAGAATATTCATTATAGCATCATTTGTAATAATAGTTCATTTAAAAAACAAACTAGAACAAGAAACCTAAATTGCCATCAATAGGGGACTGGTGAGATAAATGAATACCCACACCATTGGTATAATAAATAAAAAATATTTGTATGTTTATTTATATTCTAGAATAAAACAAAAGAATTTGTAAAAATGGTTACCTCTCAGAGTAGAACTAGTGATAGAGAAGAGGCTTTCACTTCCCCTTTTGTACTCATCTCCATGGCTTTAATATTATGTCATTATGTCTACATATAATACTTATAATAAAAATATTTTTAATAAGGAATTTTTAAAATTCACACTAATTTCAATTTTAATTATAAAAGTAAATACTCAAATGCTTGAGTCATGCTGGTATTCACCACTACTTAAACAAATGCCATCTATTGATACTAGGCAATGTTTAGTTCAGCTTCACTGATCTTCTAAATATTTCTTTTAAAATATATTTAAAGAGCAGTTCTAAGGATTCTGAGAGTACCTTCTGGGTATAAAAAGACATTGAAAGAAAAAAGTCTAGAAGGATGAAGGAGAATGGATAATAACAGAAATTCTGGAGGCAGAAAAGAATTGAATGTTAATTCAGGGAAGTCAACAGATGGCAAGAGTTTCTCAGTTGTTGTAACATGCATGGTCACTATCTAGAGACTTCAATCTAAGATTCTCCCGCCAATAAACCACTTTATATCCTCTTTGTATAAACAAAGTACCTGTATTAACTTACTGAAAGCAACATGGTATAAAACAGCAAATTTAAGCAAATTCACCAAAAATATGAGGCCTATTTTATATATACACATCGTAATGTGTGTGTGTGTATGTGTGTGTGTGTATACAAGCCATAGACCCTTCTGAGCAGCTTTAGAAATATTGTGTCCCACAGAAAAATACAAATATGTTTACGTAAACATTTTACATTTTTTTCTTAGGGGGTTCATAGAATGTCTGCAACTCACATATAGACTTAAGGGTAAGAATAAAGCAAAAATATAACTATCCAAAGTGATTACCTCTACATGCAGGTGGTGGGCCACTCCACTCTCCTTCATCGTCATTCACAGTACAATAAATAGAGTGCTCTCCAATCATGGTGAATCCTCTATTACATAAATACGTTATAGACTGTCTATATCCATAATGTTCACGTTCCCCTTGAATTATTCCATTGTCAATTTGTGGTGGTGCTGGACAATAAATTTCTTAAAAAACAATTCCAACATCTTTTAAATAAATAAAACTAGTAAAATATTTTTACAAATAAGACCAAAACATGTTAAAGATTATATTTTAAAGAAATCAAAATATCATTTTTCTAAATTCAGCATTATCAACAAGAGATGCTTATAAATGCCTATTAAGTAATTGGTAGTATACTAGAGCTTTGAATGCAAATGGTGTAGAAGACAAATGCTAACCTTGAAATTCATAAAAATAATAAGATTCAGAACATGTATGTAAAGGAAAAATTATAATAAGATTTGGGCATATCAAAATGGTGCTAGGAAAAGTGAATGCTGCAGGAGTTTAGGGATGAAAGCAGTATAGTCAGAGAAGACTTGGGCAGGGAAATAGAACTTCAGTTTAAACCTAATATGTACCATGCTTTTGAGAGAGAACAGAGGAGAGAGCATTACTCTTCACTCTAAGAAGGAAACGATAGCAAATGCAAGGAGTTGAAAATTCAAGCAGCATGTTTAAGAACTAAGTACAGATCGTTTTAGATAGAGCAGAGATCTTAAATGTCAGGATTACATTGTGACTTCTAGAGTAAACATTTTTAGCACATATTGACTCACAGAGACTTCATTCAAAACAATCTTACTGAGCAGTTGAACTTATAAAATAAATACAAGCAGAGGTTTTTTTAGTTATAATGTAAAAAGGGACTACTCTCTGGCAATTGCCCTGAGAAAAAATTCAATGGTTCCACATACTCCAAAGGCATGATGTTGTTGTCCTTTTTTTTTCCTAAGAATGGAAGGCAATTTAATATGTGTGTATGTCAAATTATGTTACACGAAGCATACTTAAGAACACAGAAAATACTTAGCACATTTATCAATCACTCTTCAGTCTTAGATCAAAACAAGCAGCAAGAACAAGCTGTTCTGATTTACACCAACTTAGAGTATGCAGAGACACACATACCATTGGTTCAGTTCAAACATTTTCTAACTGCCTAACACATGCCAGGCATTTTTCTATAACTGGAAGTGTAAAGCTGAACAAGATATAGTTCGTATGTCTTAAAAGCTAGTGGGGAAAAAAGATTCAGAGATGATTTCAATAAAAATTGCAAGGGTCATCATAGAAGTAGCCAGCCTGGGAATCTCCCTGATGGGCTAGAGAACTAACTCTTAGGAAAATATAGCTAAGTAAAGAAGGGGCAACAGGGCATGGTGGTTCACACCTGTAATCCCAGCATTTTGGGAGGCTGAGGTGGGCAGACTGCTGGAGCCCAGGAGTTCGAGACCAGCCTAGGCAACATGAGGAAGCCCTGTCTATGCAACAAATACACAAATTAGCTGGGCATGGTGGTGTGCACCTATAGTCCCAGATACAAGGGGGGCTGAGGTGGGAGGATCACTTGGGCCAAGGAGATTGAGGCTGCAGTAAGCTGTGATCACACCACTGCACTTCAGCCTGGGTAACAGAATGAGACCCTGTCTCAATTTAAAAAGAAAAGAAAAGAAAAAAAAGAGGTACATGGAAACCACAGCAGTTTGCATGTATAAGGCATAAAACATGAGGGCAAGACCTGAGTGTCAAGCAGTAGGTAGACCATGACTGTCTTGTACACTATACTAAGGGATTTGGGCTTTGTAAGTGATAGGAGATATGAATAAGCTCTAAGGAGGAAACAGACATCTAAGTCACATCTGTGTTTCAGATCGCTCTGGGTAAAATATGGATGAAACATTAATAGAGTGAAAGAATGGAGGCAGGAGGCCATTGCTATCAGTGTCACTCTTGAACTCAGGCAACTAAGACTGCTGCCTCAGACCCCATATTTTAAAAGGCTGTGCTCTGGCCCTCCTCTGGATGCGTCTCTCCCCTGTTGGTGGGATATCTGTAGGCTGAGAGCATACACTCAATGACAACCTGTCCTACGACTTCTCCTCCATTCCAGAACATGCTCCAGGAACTAGCACCCAGAATTCCCTGTGCCAACACCCTTTCCAGGGCCTGAGAGGGTCCCTCCCACTGGTCCACATTCTTAGGGGTGGTCTATCCCGCTGATATACTTCACCTCTAACCCAATAGACAATGGAGGGTGGATACAAGTTATGGTGGATGTGGTGGACACGACTTGGGTATTTAGGCTGAGTTGTCCACTTATTTGCACCAGAAAACCCACACAGTGTGGAAAGAGGAAGGCCTATTTGAAAGAAGGTGGGTCTTAGGCCAGTGACCTCCATTTATATTCTTGCCTGGGCCCTGAAAATGTTAGAGGTGGCCCTGATTGCAATAGTCCACAGAAGGAATAATAAACTATGCCATAAGTATACAGATGGAGGGCAAAACACAAGTTTGAAAAACAGATTGAGGAAGTAAAGCACAATGATTTAGGGATGAGATGTGAGGAGTTAAGATAAAAGAGAAGGGTCTGGGATGATAGTCATTATATAGCAGGGATTGATTCTAGGTTAGCAGATACCATCAGTCAACTAAAATTTTGAAAAAGAAAACATTGGCAGAGAGATAAGCAAACAGGTTCTCTGACAGTGAGGCTCCATTCACAGGTAAACTAGCATCACCTCTGTTTTCTGTATAACTACAGACAATTAGTGGATGTATCCATTGTTCTTTCCTTCTTCATATCCATATTCACGCATGGACATTGAAGCAACCTCATGTGTTTATAGGCTAGGGCTACATACTTGAGGTGAAGCATTACATTGTTTAAGAATTTACTTTCCATTCAATCTTTTTGGTATGGTCAAAACAAGTTATGTAGAAATTCAAAATGATCCTAAAAGAAGTAAGGCCTTATGGGGATATTTGAAGGCACTGGGATTGCTTAAGAACAGGGGCTCTTTCCTACAGGATGCAGATGTCAGTGGTTGCTGAGTCAGAGAGGATAGAAGAGTCAAGGAGGAAAACATGAACATCAGAATATTCAGCATGGAGTTCAAGACACCAAATAGGGAAGCAAGGCTGAGACCTAGATGGCGCAAGCAGGAAAATAAAGTGGGTTTGCATTGCTGTCAAATTCATGACACAGCAGGTGCTTGTGCAAATACTGGCTTCAGATGGGAGACTGTTTGTCTGAACTTTGTGACATGCTGCCTGGGTCAAACGAAAGATACGGCCCAGTTTTTCCTTGTTTTCTATCTTTAATTTACTATCATTTACAGTGTCTCTTATTGGACAAGGAAAGTGGGAAAGGTGCTACTGGGTAGCAGTGATGAAAAATTTAAAAACAACTACAATGAGAAAAAACTGGTGGTAGTAGTATGACATCTCGAAAGAAGGGCACATGGTGGGTGTGGCAGGGGCAGGCTCCTTGATGGCACAGCTTCGTTTTATTTGTCTTCGTATCAGTTGACCCTACACGTTGCCTACCAGAGTGTCAGTCGATAAATGTTTGATAAATTACACTAAATCTACTCTAGTTTTCTTCCCCTAGTAACACACAAAAACTAACTTATCAATAATTTTGACAATAGGGCCTTCAGAAGTCATTTGCAGGAGGGCACATTGTGTGTAGAGAAAGAGAAGGATGGAAAGAAAGCAAGCCTACATTTTAAAATATTGCTGTATTTTATTCCTCTCAATTTCCAAGAGACACGTTTCTCTAATTGACATAAATCTGACAGGATATATACCCATTTATAGCATTATTGCTGCACCATATCTTTCTTTGAGAAGATTCTCAAATACAGAAACAGTATTTCTCCTTTATGGTATAAGCTTATCTCTCTCATGATAAGAATATATCACACCTTAAAACCCTTCTAGATAATTATCTCAATTATTTTAATCCTAAGAAGCAGCATGTAGGCAACACTGGGTTTTAGAAAAATGCTGGGTCTGAAATAAGAGACCTGGGTTAAAGGCCTTCCATTGCCACTTGTTTTAGGATATGGGGTCAAGTCTTATAGACCCTCTGATAGACAGTATTTTCTTACATTAAAATTGTGGGGTGGAAATCTTTTACCTATCATACTTGACTTTAGAAGTAATGGTTAGACAATAAATGACCAAGTGCAATACAAATCTGTTTGTTTTTAATCCTTATTCTATTGTTTGGGAATTGGGACTCAGAAAACTTGATGGTTTATCTCCACAGCTAATAAATTAAGAAGCATCACTAGAAAAGGTATTAAAATTAGCAAAGCACTCATATCTTGAAAGCTGGGTTTGCTACAAATACACACTGTGCTAATTCTTAAGGGGCAGAAATTAATTTATCATTGAGTACTCAGCCTCACAACCTGAGTGCTTAGATTTTTAACTCTTACCTCTGCACTCTGGCAACGTGTCACTCCACTGGACTCCACTGCCTGAAACAAGACATAAACTAGAAGTCGGGCCAAATAATTTGTACCTAAAGCAATAGGGGAAGAAAAAAGAGTTTGTTACATTCACACGTATTTGACTTTCCTCAAATTCTTCAGGTTATTATCTTGAAATATTTACTGCAGCAGCAGGTGAAAATAAAACAGTAGTTGACAAAAGTCCACACAGTAGTTTAAAGGAAAAGAAAAATTAAGTTTAAAAAGGTGACATCCAAAGAGTAAAAACGGGTAAGACATGTACATTTTTTATTTGCATGGGGAATATGTTAGAAAGCATAAAAGTGTTTAAAACATTTTTAAATGACAGAGATGATTGAACATTTTATACTTCCGAGTTCTAAATACAGGCTTCATAGAATAATAGAATGTACTTGTATTTCAAGGGTTCAACGTACTTCCCAGATTTTGTGTTCGTGACCTAACTAACATCTGTTCCGTAAAGGAGACAAGTGATACTGATATTTTTACTTTATAAAGAATAGGGACACACACACAGTAAAATAGAATTATTTAATTTACAGATATGAAATGAGAAAATAAATGTAAAGTTTTCAACAGTGTCTGAGACATTGATGGTACTCAATGAATGAGTTGCTTTTTCCTGTATAGAGAACTTATCAAAGAACTTAGGTTAGAATATTTTCACACTAGGAATGTCTTTAACTCATGCTGTTTTGTAACAGCTTGTTTGCATAGAGAAAAACTCATGCAAATTCATTATTTAGGTCAACTAAAGATTGGTTTAGTATTTAACATTTGAAGAATTATTTCTGCAAGTAACATCATCTCAAAATTTTTATTAATCACATTTAAAATTCTATATTGAATCACATATTTACTGAAATCAGAATTTAGAGAATTTTGGTGGTATAAGAAATCTTCCTTTCTTGCCCCATTTTAGTAAATTTAACTGTGATGAGCTCATGATGAAGGGTCTTTGAGGAGAAGGATTGTTTTAGTTGCTAGTAGCTGTGAATACCAGTCATGAAACTAACAATCTCATCTTAAGTCCTAATTTGTTTCCTCATTTCCTAAATACAGGGTTTTAGTATGCCCAAACTTACCCTGTGTTACATGAGAAGGAGATGGCTGCACCAAATAATATGCCATTTGATGTATCGATCTGACCATTTGGTATTTCTCCAGGATTAGGGCATGATTTCTCTAGAATAGAATACAAATTGATTTTTTTTTAATTAAATTATCAGGCATACACACAAAGAAGGTAACTATGTGAGGTGGTGGATATGTTAATTAGCTTGACTGTGTTTATCATTTCACAAGGTGCACATATATTAAAATATCATGTTGTACACCTTAAATATTTGTTGATTATACCTCAATGAAGCGTGGGAAAAAATTTTGAAAAAATTATCAAGCACATATATGTAAATTCATCATCTGAACCATTGATAGTTCTTATCCTTAGATTTTTTTTTTTTTTTTTTTTTTTGAGATGGAGTTTCGCTCTGTTACCCAGGCTGGAGTGTGTTGACATAATCTTAGCTCATTGCAACCTCTGCCTCCCAGATTCAAGGGATTCTCCTGCCTCAGCCTTCCAAGAAGCTGGGATTACAGGCATGCACCACCACGCCCAGCTAGTTTTTGTATTTTTAGTAGAGTCGGGGTTTCATCATGTTGGCCAGGCTAGTCTCAATCTCCTTACCTCAAGTGGTCCACCTGCCTCTGTCTCCCAAAGTGCTGGGATTACAGGCATGATCCACCATGCCTGACCCTTAGACTTCTTTAATTCTAATTTCTCTTTATAATAAGTTTTGAAAAAGCAACGTATTTAGAATATATACTTGTTTCATTTTAGGTAACCTCAAACTAATTAAATGTGAAATTTTTGAGTGAATAAGTATTCCTACCACATAAATATTTAGTTTGTCTAATTCAAAATAAATTGACACTCATGGTCCTATCAAGAAACATCCTAAATAATAATATATACACACAGAGTTCTAGCATGAATGAAGGAAGGGATACTATTTCCCCCAAACACCAGATGGTTGAAAATACTTAAAAAAATTTTACTCACTTTTACAAAATTCAGCTGCTGTGGACCATTTTAAATTCTGAAGGCAAGTTAGTTTTGCTAATAGAGAAGGGTCTCTTCTGTAACCTGGACGACACTCATATTCCACAACAGTACCGACTGGAAAATAACTCTGAGGGATATAAAGCTGTTTGAGGGATGCAAACTTTAGCCTGGTTGGTGCACCGCAGCTACCTAAATGTATTAACAAAAGCAGCAACAAAAAAAGTAGTATCAATGTTTGTTTTATAATCTATATTTAATTATCTGGACCCTAATAACCCCCTTTCTTTACTGCTTTGCACATATTTGGTACTTAACTATATTAATATCACCATGGCACTTGCAATGTAGCAAATGCATTCACATGTATACTTTATTTCCCAGTTACTAGAGGCTTAGGAAGTAGAGTTGGTACACAGATATCACTATCCCCACTTGAAAAAAAAAAACAAAGAAACAAAAAAACCATTTAGGTTGCCTGGCACAGTTCTGGCATTCAATAAATGTTGGTTTCCTTACCCTACCCTAAAGAACTACACAGCACCATACAGTACAGGAATAGGGTATTTCCAGACCTCTGGACTAATGTCCTGCACAACAATAATAGCAGCTAACATTTATTTACATATAAACTCATTTAATTCCCACAAGCCCTGGAGGCAAGGATGAGTTAATTGTATACATATTTACATCTGTAAACAGCTGGGCAAATGTGAATCTAGAGAGGCATGGTCAAGTGGAAGGGTCACTGGATTTGTAGTCAGAAGACCCAAGTTTACACCTTGGTTTTGGCATAAAAGCTGCTGTGCTCTTAATGAAGTTATTTAACTACTGGGGCCTGTCTCCTCCACCATTGGATAAAGTAACAACATGGGGAAGAGTTAAAACATGATACGTGTGCAAAGACTATGTACTTCATCCTACTGCCTCTATCGTGGATAAAAATAAAAAGTTAAAGCCTATTTCACGCATGGCTTCTAAAAGTATTTGTGCCAATTTCTGTATTTACTGTAGCTTCTATTGATTTAAGTTGTTCAAAGTAAGGTTATTGGGTCTCTTTAACTTTACTCATGTATCTCAAAGCTAATACAGGGCTATATAAGTAACAGATTTTTTTCCTCCAAGATAATGCCGATATATATTTTATGAAACCAAAGGGCACACGAGGTGTGGATGACTGTATGTATATTCACCTAAAACAAGAAATCTTCATTTCTTTTAATTCTACTAGATATCAATACCAAACACGGTTACTGTGTTAGCCCCAAAACAACTCTTCACTGGGCCTCTTATTCATTTTTAACAATCAATCTATCTACCTGTCTATCTATATCCCAATTTACATATATCTCTCTCCCTATATATATCTCTCTCCATATATACATACATATATGTCCCTATATATATCCCAATTTTTATATATATATATATATTTTTTTTTTCAAAGTCGCAAGAAGAGAAGATTTGGAATATTCTCCACACAAACGCCAAGTGTTTGAGGTACTGGCTATCCCAATTACACTGATTGATCATGACACATTGTATGATCTATAAATACCTATAAATACGTACAAGTATAACAGATTTTGAAGTAAATATTGAGAGCTTTTAAAAATGCCACCACAGAGTTGTATTTGATAAGCCCTACTTTACAAAATATTTAAGAAAACAGATCACTTACGCTATGTGTCTCAAGGCAATTGCCAAATATATTTTATGTATTTACTCCCTAAACAATACATATTGTTTAATTTCTCTACTAGTTCGTTCAAGGGGTACAGTGTTAGGAAGAAAAACTCTTAACGAAGCAGCAGGACCTACTCAGGGAGGTAAATGTCTTCAATTAGCTGGAGTGTGAAGTGCCAACAAGGTATACCCTGGGGTTTAGTAACACTAGAAAACTATCAATTACTAGTCACTCCAAAGATACATAAAAATAAATTTTAGATACATTTCATTCCCATAACTTTTCTTTAAAAAAATGAGGAACTTACGATTGCAGAACTCTTCAATATCTGACCATTGACTGTCCGGAAGGCACATCACTGAGTCCTGCTTACCAGGAATTTTCATAAAGTTTTCATCACATCTGTACGTTATTACGGTGTTCTCGGGAAAACTTGTAAGGCCTTTCAAAGCTGGCTGGGCATTAGGTACAGCGGGGGGAGGGCCACAGTCAGCTAGGGAGACAAAAGCAGAACTGAAGGAAATGACTATCAAGGGTCCTCACAGTTGCTGTTTTTAAGACACACGCCCCCTTGAAATGCCACACCTTAAAGAGATGACATGCAAGTTTGCAGCATGGTGTGCTCTACACGGCTGGACTCTGTCGAGAGTGGGCAGCGGTCAGCGGTCTGGCCTCCCATCCTTTCAGACCAGATTTTTGGGGGTTAAGGCTCTCTTTGAGCCCTCCCTTTCGATTTTCCCAGGCTTGGCCGCTCCGCAAACCCAGCTGGGGCCTCTTTAACCTTACTCCACGCCAACTCCTAAAGCCAAGTCAGCTGGGGGCCGACACAGCAGGAGCCCCAAATGCTGGTGAGCGGCGACAGCCTTAAAGGTACAGGACGGGTGAACCAAGACCGAAGGCCACGCTCCCCACCTGCCAAGTCCCCGGTCCCTGTGCGTGTCTCGGAGACCGACTTGGACCTCCCACCCAGCCCAGGGGCGTCCCTGGCCGCCAGGCCCCCAGGCCCCCGGGCCCCCACTCACCCCACACGGCCGGCAGGCACAGCAGCAGCAGCAGCAGCAGCAGCCGGGGCAGCTCCCCAAGGAGGGGCAGCGCCGCGGGCACGCTCGGCCGCGCGACAGTCATGGCGCGGGAGGTCAGAATAAGTACGCGCCGCCGGGACTCCGCCGGGTCGCAGCTACGCCCAGCTGCCTAAGCGAGTTGCAGCGAGCAGAAGCAGCGCCTCGCAGCTCCGCAATAACAGTTAAATGAGTGCTTTGGGCGGGGCCTGGGCTGGGGTTCTATGTCACCAAGGGTGGGACAAAGAAGACGGGTGGAGTAGGGATTTGTTGTAGTCAGAGGTGCGGTCAGAGGGCGCTGGCGTCATACGCCCCTGGGAGCCCTAGACTCAGGGATAGCGGGAAGGGGAAGGAGGAGGAACTCGCTGGCAATCCTCTCTGGGATTCACTCTCTCCACCGCTGGGTGGGGCCTGCGATGACCTGCCTTCTGGAAACCTAAATGTCTCCTCGCTACGTAAACATAAACGGGGTGGAAACGGGAGAGGGGGAGGGGTGCTCAAGTATCGCAGGCCTTGCTGCCCGAACGTGAGTTCGTCTAAGCGGAGCATCCGCGCGCTTGAGTGCTGTCAAGCAGAGCTGCACGTGCGGTGGAGTTCGGGGACTGAGACTCGGGAATTGAGACGCGGTGCCCTTCCCGTGTTGTGGGCCTCTACTGCGAGGTCTGTCAAACGCCAGCACGAGGGTGGGGAAGTAACTAGGGAGCGAGGGCGTTATCTCCTAGAACACTCTCTAATGTGACAACAGAGAGCTAGGGAAAACAGGTTGAGGAACACAGTAGGGAGTGAACGTTGTTCATGCCTTGTTCTGGTGGGAGTCACTTGCTTCACCCGGGTTCTCCTTATTTACCAAAGACACCACTTTCGGATTACTCCAGCCTGACTGTAGAGAGAAATTCATCAGTGTGTGTGTGTCTGCCTCGGGGGGGAGGGGGGGGGGGGGTGGGGGAAAGGGGTGGGATAACAACAAAAACAAACCCCAAAAAACTGAATGGTGATGGGGTGGATTTTAAGAGGAAGGCTTGTTACAAACCTTTAAGAATAAATAGCCTGAGGTTTGCAAGAGTGGCCACACATTAGAATCATGTGGGGAGCTTACATATATATATATTTTTTTTCATATATTTATATATATTCATATATATTTATACATATATAAATATATGTACTTTAAGTTCTGGGATACATGTGCAGAACATGCAGGTTTGTTACATAGGTATACACGTGCCATGGTGGTTTGCTGCACCCATTAGCCTGTCATCTACATTAGATACTTCTCCTAATGCTATCCCTCCCCTAATCCCCACCCCCCAACAGAACCCTGTATGTTATGTTCCCCTCCCTGTGTCCATGTATTCTCATTGTTCAACTCCCACTTATGAGTGAGAACATGCAGTGTTTGGTTTTCTGTTCCTGTGTTAGTTTGCTGAGATTGATGGTTTCCAGCTTCATCCATGTCCCTGCATAGGACATAAACTCATCCTTTTTTATGGCTGCATAGTATTCTATGGTGTATATGTGCCACATATTTTTTGTCCAGCTTATCATTGATGGGCATATGGGTTGGTTCCAATCCAGAGGCCCAAACTACACCTTAGACAAATTAAATCAGCATCTTTGGGGATGGCACTGGGTATCAGGATTACTTAAAATTGCCACACTGTGCAGCCAGGTTTGAGAACCACAGACCTATATGGTACTGGTCAGAGTAAAGATCTATCCACTCTAGGACCACCCCTGTCAAAAATAGAAAGGATATAGATGGCAAGGTGGGTTGCCCTTCTTCATAGAGAATAGCCTCAAGAACGTGCTTCCCTTTAATAATTTGTCTGGGTCTGGCTAGCAGAGTCCTAGCCTAGATTCCTTTTCCCTTAAATGCCTTGCCTGGTTAAGTGAAATTCCCTACTTGGAATTATACTTTGGTCCATGGACCAGCTGTGGGGGTATTTGTTATATCCTATCATGATATTCTTTCCTGAAGGTTTTCTGATAGCTCTTTACTGGTTGGTATGAACTTTATAAGGAGGAAAACAATTTTCAATCATAGCATTTTCTTTGACCCATACTTACTGTATAGAACCAAACCCTGTGTTGCCCATTGCTGGAACCAATCCTACAGTGATTCCAAGCAAGGGACTACTGTAGGATTTCATTGAAACCTAACAATACTCAAACATTGTGGAGTTTAGAAGTTAGGGTGGGGGGCTTTTAAAACCATCTAGTGTCATCCTCATATTTGATGTTAAAATACCTTACTTTTACTCCCATATTGGATATAAAAACACAAGGTCAGGGCCTGGCAGTGTTTAGAAGTGGCACCAGGTCTTCATTTATTCCCCCTAATAACCTCTAATAACCTTAACCACCACTCCCTTCTGTCGTGCCATTATACATAGGTAATCTTCATTTCTGCTTGGGCTCACAGAATTGGTGTGAAAGGCAAGGTAGCATTGTGAAAAAGACAGGTCAAGCAAGATCAGTTATGCAGCTGCCAGAAGACTTAACATTGAAGTCTATTAAAGCTCTCTACGTGTTTATTATGTGAATGTCATAGCTTTATATGCAGAGAAAACAATGAGCTCTGCAAAGTGTCAAAAATATTATCTATCACACAACTTAGTGACACTAAATGTCCTAAGCATTCACCTTCCAGAATACTTAGTTATTGGCAATAACTATTTTTAAAAGGAAATTTTGGCTGGGCGTGGTGGCTCATGCCTGTAATCTCAGCACTTTGGAAGGCCGAGGCGGAGATCACCTGAGGTCAGGAGTTCGAGACTAGCCTGGTCAACATGGTGAAACCCCGTCTCTACTAAAAATACAAAAATTGGCTGGGCGTGGTGGCATGCGCCTGTAATACCAGCTGCTCAGGAGGCTGAGGCGGGAGAATTACTTGAACCTGGGGGGCGGAGGTTGCAATGAGTCAAGATTGCGCCATTGCACTCCAGCCTGGGGAACGAGAGCAAAACTCCATCTCAAAAAAAAAAAAAAAAAGAAATTTTATGAACAATTACTGGATGGAATCTTAAGTAATAGTTACAGCCACCCAAATGTCAACATTCTGAGGGGAAGGAAACAAAGAAATCCACTATGTATTTACTCAACTTAGAAAAGATATCTATGATAAAATCTAAGCATTCCTCAGAAAAAGCAAATATGTGAATTTATAACTTACTAAAGATTATTTTAAATAAATGGACTCATTTGTTGTGTTCCAGTTGCTTTATACACATTATACCATTTCATCAGCACAACTTCATGAAGTGAAGATAACTCTCCATATTTTGCAGACAAGGAAACAGGCTGAGAGGCTGTTTACCAAAGTTTACCAAAGTCCATGCACTAACTAGTGACTAGGTCAGAATCTAAACCTAGTTTGATTTCAAAACCTATACGTCTGTCCTACCATACTGCATTCTTTTTACTGGAATCAGCAAAAGTTTCTTGTGTGCAGAGGACAATGACTGAGGTTCTTGGGGAGGTGATTTGGGAACCCAGGGGCTCATGATATGAGCAGTAGTTCCGAGGCTTCATACTTATCTACCAGAAACTAGCTGTGTGTCCTCGGCTGAATCACTGCACGTCTCAAGGGCTTATTTCCGCATTGATTAAAAAGCATTTGGCACTAAAATAGTCTCTATAGAGCTTCCAATCCAAAACAAGCTTATGTAATTAGGCCAAAATACAAAGAAAATAGGTTTATGATTTTGACAGAGCAAGGGACCACGGCTCTTACTCTTGTCCCAGGAACCATACAATGACTAAATCAAAGACGGTTTAATAAACTTCCTTAGCACACAGAAGCCCACTAAGTGTCAATACTTGTGTTTGAGAATCTATAATCTAGTAGGGAGGTTTTTCATGATAAATGCTTTACAAATATCGCAACTAAAGTGGTATGGGGCTTCAGAAAGGAGAGAAGGGAGTGTGGTAATTGGGGTGGGGAGGCTAAAGGCCCAGTGATTCAACTAAATATGACAAGTGTCAATGCAATAGGGCAAAAATAGGAAAAGAGATATGAACAAATGTTTGGGGTCAGGAAAAGGCCTGTTGATTCCAAGAGTAGTAAGGAGTTTAGTTTACAGAGAGTATGGAGAACTGAATTGAGGCAATGGAAGAAGAGGGTGAGAGAGGCTGGAAAGAGATTTGAGGGAGCCTTAAAGGTAAGGCCTGTGCCTTTTACACCATTCAGAAGCATTAAAGAACTGTTGACAGTTGTAAGGAGGAAGCACCTGGGTAATTTGGAATTTGCATCTAAGATGCTGGAATGAGAATGACTGTGTAAGCTAAGATCCAGTTTAACTAACTACAACAGTTCAGGTGTTTAGGCTTAGAGAACAAAAATGTCTTTTAGTTTTAAAATAATACATCTATATTAAGGAGTCCCAGTCCTGTTGCTCTATAAAACTCCTGACACAATTATTATAGACTTTTGAATTTCCATTCCTGCTCTGACCAAACAAGTTTCAAAGTAATAACCCACAGAATTTGGCAACTGACTCGATAAGGAGCAGTGGGGAAAAAGATGTTACAGATGACTCGGAAGTTTGGAGTTTGTGAGATTAGCAGCCCTATTTAAAAGAACTATCCATTCCAGAGCCAGGAGGTAATTTAGAGAAAGAACAACAAATTCAGCTTTACACTTGTTGAATTTTAAATGCCTTGGCAGAGTGTCTAATGGAAACGTCCAGCATGCGATTGAAATGGAGGCAAGATGGAGGTGGAGTGGGTGGAGACGTGACTGCAGGCAAGGTTTGAACCAAGGGAAGATGTGGAAATACACAGAGAAGCCCAAGGTGTGAGACTTGAGGAGCCCCACGTTAGAAGGTACGAATGACAGAGAAAGGGAAAGGAGAAGGTAGTAGAAAGGAAAGAGAATTGTGCAATTTCCTGAAAGCCAAGGGATACAAAACTGTGAGCAAATATTGTCACCCTCATTGCAAGTGAACCAGCTGGTGTTTAGGGAAGTTAAGAAACTAGCCCCAAACCACATGGCTTGTTGGCAGTAGAACTAGTGCTTAGGATTTTAACGCCTCTGTTAGACTGGCCAGGCATCATTCTTCCAGGAAATCTCCCTTGCCATGACATCATGCCTGGTACCTTCCTCTATGCTACCAAAGTATGTAATGTGCCTATCTGTGCCTCACATCTAATGAACCAGTCTATTTCATATTTACATTCTAACTCAGCCTAAATATATTCCCAACTTATCTTAAAATATCCAATGGGCCGGGGCAGGGTGGGGTTGGAGGGAACTTTATATTGAGGCATTTTTGTCATGCAGCTGCAAATACAGGTAATTCTGCTTCACAGAATAAGGGTATTTTTTAACAAATGAAAACAAATGAGTGGACTCTCCTGTTTCTTATA